ATGATAATCGTAACCGAACCAAGCCGTGAGACCAGTGTAGATTCACACCCCAACTCATTACAATTATAGACTTTTTCGTGGCTACTGCATGGAGGGCGCCATAGTGACCAGCGTCTTCGGGTAGAATGTTTAGAACTTCTGTTTACAGCGTTTACATCCAGTAATTTGCAATCCGAATGTGGGTTTCAATAGCGCTTTGAGTGGATTACGGAGTGTTTTTGTGACACACAACTTTGAAAGGTGTGTGTTAAACCTGTTATAATCTGTCACCTCTGTGTTTCAAGCATGAGAAAAAAACGTTATCCTATTTCATATAAATCGTAAGTCATGTTTCTTTTTGTTTTGCTTAATCGCTTGCCCCTTAAAAAATATGTTCTGAATATAAAAAAAAAAAAAAACATGGTATCTTTTGACTGCTTTCTTTAATAATTACATTACACAATACTTGTAATTTTACCTTCAGTATTTGAGTAGTACATTTTGAAATAAACTACTTGCAATACTTGAGTACAAAAATGTTGAATACTTTAGTATTTCCACTTAAGTATGGTTCTTAAAGAGCCCTTCAAACTCTACTCAAGCCACTTTTTTTTGATAGAGCACTTGTACTTTTATTTAAGTCTAGATCTCTAGTACTTTATACATCTCTGTTGGCAGGGCTTTCTCACTCTGATGCTCTGATGACAGGTACACAGGGAGAATGTCAATCAAAGTGTTTCTGCAGACTGTTTTTATCAAGTGTGGTTATAAAAAATACAATTAATACATTTTTACCATTAGAGGCTGGCAATATTCACACACTGCTGACACACAACTGTGTTTAAAAAGTGATTTTTGCATAATAGATCCCCTTAAATATTCTAAGAATAATTTTACCTCTCACAATGTAATGTTGGCCAACATAAAACTGGAGTTTCAGGGTCTCATATGGCATATTCATCATATTTGGATAGTTTATTTAAACATGTAGGGCCCTTAAATCAAACACTGTGTGAAATGTCTTCTCCACACATCACTTTTGGCAAGTACATGTGTTTAAATAAAATGCGTGTTCAATTCTGCCATCTATTTGCCTAGCACAAGCGAAGCAGCGCTACTTTACATCTGGCTCCGAACTCCAAAGAAAACATGCACTCTTAACCTATTTATCAACAATCTTTTGCAATATAGCCTCTTATCAGTGGCACTTTTGCCACTTTGGCTTGATGCTCAGGTCTAAGCAGTCGTGAAATGTTGTGCTAAACTTGCCCTGGAGCTTTGTGATAAAGCGCGGCTCCACATAATCTTACCCGTACCATTGGTTTCCTCGCTTATTTGAATGGAGTCGTCGGTCCCTTCTGCCGGTCGGTCAGAGATTCCCCCTTGATGTTGGGGCTCTTGGTAAATGACTTCCTTGTTCCTGAGCAATCTCTTTGACTTCTGCGGAAAGCCAGGTGCTTTGCCTCTGGGCAGAGTTTAAACGCAGTAAGTCTTCACCCAAAATAAACCTGTATCCTGTAATGCCTCAGTTCCTCTGGGCTGCTTTCTTAATCACCCAAATCCTGATTCATCAATGAAGACAACTGAATTAGCAGATGAGCATTGTGTGTGTGCGTCAAAGACTCCTAATGGATTGACCGTGTGTGTGTTTTGAACAAGTCTAGAATAGTAGTGTTTTGGGTTACAATATTTGCAACCTAGACTCATTGTGGAAACGTAGTCCCGCGGATGTTTCTGGAGACCACGGAATAAGTCCCGGCGGGTACGTACGGCTGCAGTTTTTGTTTTCGCGAATCCACGAGAGGTCGCTGTTGTGCGCTTTTTCGCACCTCAGACGCCACTTGCGAGCGCGGTTCGCGCTCGTGCTGTTCTCGCGTGAACCCGCCGGAGGCCGCTGTCCAACTGACTGAATGATTGACTGCGCGACCGGCCAATCGGCCGACTCGCCCTCCTCCTTCCCTGAACCCAACTGATTTTACCGATCGACCCGCCCGCCCGCTCGCTTCCCTAAACCCAGAGCAACAGTTCACAAAAGCCGTCCAAAAAAATAAAAGCCCTTATTTTTTTTTTATTCCTTATTTTTATTTTGTTAATTTTATTTTTCGGATTTCGCCGCGTTCTCACCCTGTCACGAAATTGTTCACTTAATTTTTGGGATTCTGTTTTTGTCTTACCTGATTACTGGAACTGCTCTTCCCCGGACTCGAAACCGGTCTCCGTGGTCGACCCCTCTTCGCATCTCGAGCCTGCCGACGTACACGCTGAGCTGAGTGGACAAACGGGTTGCAGCGGGGAAGCCCTCCACAAGGAGGTAAGGCAAGCGCGAAAGGGAACAGCGTCACACCGCCCCGCAGCGTTCGCTTGAAAAAAATAAACGCAGTCGTATGTACCCCCCGGGACGTATTCCACTGTCTCCAGAAACATCCGTGGGACTACGTTTTCAGAATGATCTTGGGTTGAATATTGGGTCAATGACGAAAAGTTCTTCACAAATCTTCTCAGGCATATTTCATTCATTCATTCGTTTTCTTTTTGGCTTAGTCCCATTATTAATCTTTGGTCACCACAGCGGAATGAACCGCCACTTCCAGTTGCAACCCATCACAGGGAAACATCCATATACTCTCATTCACACACAAACAAATTAGCTTACCCAATTCACCTATAGCACTTGCTTTGGACTTGTGGGGGAAACCGGAGCACCCGGAGGAAACCCATGCCCAACACGGGGAGAGCATGCAAACTCCACACAGAAATGCCAACTGACTCAGCCAAGGCTCGAACCAGCGAGCTTCTTGCTGTGAGGCGATTGTGCTACCCACTGCGCCACATCTGGGAATATTGGAATGTAGTTTATGAAATCGATTAGATCCTGCTCGAAACACTGTTATTCCTGCTGTTTTAGGTGCCATCTGCTATATTCGCCTTTTTATTCAGTATATGAATAATGTTTTAGTAAATATAATGTGAGTTGAAATGTTACCAGCTGAAACCTAAAGAGCCGATGAGGTCTTAATATTTAGGGTAAGAGTCTTAAAAAAAGTATTAAAAAGCATTGGATTTCATTCTCTGATTCCTGTATGTACCCTGTTAAAAGACTTGATCATTATTTAAATAATAATAATAATAGTAAAAAGATTATTATTACTATTAGAATTAATATTTTTACTAATATTATTATAATCCATGGATTATTATTATTATTATTATTATTATTATTATTAGTTAAAACAACAACAACAAAAACAATACTACTACTACTACTACTACTACTACTACTACTACTACTAATAATAATAATAATAATAATAATAATAAAATGTATTATTAATTATTAATAAAATATTATTTTTGCTATTACGATTGTTATTATTACTATTATTATTATAACCCATGGATATTCATTCATTCATTCATTTATTGTTCGGCTTAGTCCCTTTATTAATCAGGGGTCGCTACAGCGGAATGAACCGCCAACTTGTACAGCATATGTTTTACGCTGCGAATGCCCTTTTAGCTGCATCCCATCACTGGGAAACATCCACACACTCTCATTTACACAATTTACTACAGTCAATTTTAGCAGACCCACCATATTAGTATTATTATTATTTGCACTAATAATAATAGTTAATAATAATAATTATGATAATAATAATAATGATAATAATAATACTATTACTACTGCTACTACTAATAATAGTAATAATAATAATAATGACGATTATAATAATAATGATGTGGATGATAATAATAATAATAATAATAATAATATATAACAACAACTACTTTATTATTAATAATGTTATTATTATTATTTTTTTTATTATTATTATTATTAGGCCTGCAAATATTTAGATGGTAATAAAGCACTTGCTTACATTTACTAACAATATTTACTGTATTTGTTTATTTATTTATTTGCACAAATGTCTAAATCTGCCATTTTGTGATTACATATCAAGATTAAAGAAGAATGAATTGTCTTAAATCAAACTTCTAAATAAACACCAACTCTTTTAATGTTGTTCAAACACATCCAAGTATGAATCTTGATATTACTGTGCTGATAAAATGAACAGTAGTGTAAATATCTATTAAATATAATGATAACACTTTATTTTGATGGTCCAATAGAGTATGTCTGCTTAATATCTGCTGATACTGTGCCTTGAACAGATATTTAACTGACTATAAGAAACTTTGCAAGTACATGTCAACTTACACTAACCCTAACCTTAACAGTCTTATAATCTTATGACAACTAGTTCAAATATAACTTAAATTCAACAAACGAACCATCAAAATATAGTGTGACCAATATAACATGCTTTATTCCAAATATAGCATTCAGAAACTTTAATATATTCTGTTTTCATAGTTTTGATCATTTAATTTTATACCAAAATATAACAAATTTCCATAACATGGAAGACAGTATCTGTGATTGTGGCAAATCCTAACTCAGTTAGTTTTATTCAACCAGCAAGTTTTATTAATTAATTAATTAATTAATTAATTTGACTGAAAATGGCACCGACTTCTCCTAAAAGATAAGAAAATGATGTAAAAGAAGCACCATTGAGGAAAAAAAAAATATATATATATATATATATATATATATATATATATATATATATATATATTTATATATATTTCTCAGCTTTTAGTTACATGTATACACAAACTTTGTCAAAATTTACCTGGTGTATGGATAATTTCAGGCTTGACTGAATATATTGTGTCCATTATGTCTATTAAAGTTCAAGCTGTTGCATTTTATAGCACCCGGAACATTCCTGTATCGCAATCTGATGGATTTATAAGCTGCGTATATACTTGGTAAGTGTTATAATGATCATATCAATATTATATGCCTTTAGGGCTATTGAAATGCCACAGTGTCTGTCTTCATATTTGCATGCGGTGTGTGATAATGGTGTGACATCTGGTGAACTGTCCTGCGGTTACTGCGTGATGATGATTTAATAGCTCCCCATAAACAATAATCAAAATTCCTGTCATGTACAAATAAATTTATTGCACAAGCTTAAATGAATACATAACTTTATTTAAATAAATGCTTTGTCATAACAAAAAAAAGGACAAAGGTTAAAAGAGTACATAAATTACAAGTTGAATAAATATTACACAGTGATATTCACTTTCTTAATAATTTGAGATTTTTTTTTTCGTTTTATTGGTTTTTAATAAGAGTTCCAAATGCTGAACATTTTTAGAGTCCTCCAGCCACTAATGGGTCTTTTTCACATGCCAGTTTAAGCCACATTTAGGTGGTCAATCATCAAGTCTTTTCTCATCCACAAAATCAAAGAAAAACAATCAAGAAAACAGAGAGAAAACTGTTATGCATTCAGAGAAAGAAACAAAAAAACCTGTCGTTTCTACTGTAACGTGAGTTATGAACACTGCTGTCTACCCAATATGAGATTTCGGAATCTGATGAAAGCAGATAAGCACGAAAGCGACATGCTGCGTCCTGGCCATTGATAGTCTTTTATCTCTAATTACAAATCCCAACGGATCAAAATCACATTTCGGTTCTCAAATGACACCCAGATCAATTCTACAACTTGGGGAAACAAGGTGAAATGTTTTTTTCAGCCATAGTGCATCGTCTTAGAACATTCAGGGTTTTCAGAAAAACACTTTTGATTTCTGATCACAGCCGCTGTGTACTTGCTTATCAGATTCCGACACTGTCCATCTAAAAAAATCTACCGTGAAGTGTGAAGCACTGCAAAAATGTGTATTTTTGTCTGGTTTTCCAGTAAAAATATCAAGACGTTTCAAGTCAAAATCATTTGACTTGATAAGCAAAGCAATTCCAGATAAAACACTTGTTTTCTAAGAACATGTCTTGAATTGCAACCTTAAAATTCAAAGATTTTGAAGAACTATTTTGCCAAAGAAGAACTGTTACCCCAAAAACCTATTAGTGAATCAGATTCTGCTAGCATGAAAATGCTTTAACAAACTAAATAACCTATCTTTTTGTTTGTTTGTTTGTTTTTTGTTTATCAAGTGATTCCAAACCTTCTTTTCTGTTAAACATAAAAGAAGTTATTTTGAAGAATGTAACCGTTGACTTCCATAGTAGAAAGAACACATAATCCTTCATATTATGTGTTCTTTCTACTATGGAAGTTAATGGTTCTTCAAAATATATTCTTACAAGGGTTACAGCTTTGCAGCTTTCTACAAAATATGTCATGTTGTGTTCATCAGAAGAAAGGAATTAAAAAAAAATTGTGTCAACCTAATATGTTATCACAAAGGGACATTGTAGTCCTTACACAAAGCTTTTATACAGCAATGGACGAGTTGCATGACTATTGTGCATCTTTTATAAGAATAGCTCTGACATTGGTGTTCTCAAAGAGAAAAAAAGTCAATTTAGAACATTTTCTGGCTATGTTATCCCATTTCTTTTTTTAAAGTTGCACAATTCAAGATACAGTGCTCAGCGTAATTGAGTACACCCCGTTTTGAAAATGAATATTTTTATTAATTTCTCAGTGACTATAGGCAATATAACTTGGTGCATTTAGATAAAACAGATTTATTAAACTGATACATTTATTAAAATAATATTTTATTCACCAAACATATTTAGAAATTGAAAGATAATACAATTAAATTCTAGCAAAATATTGCAAAAAATATTACAACCTACAACATTTCAACTAAATTTTAAATTTTTTTGCTTCTTGATTTTTCCTCTTTTTTTTTTTAAATTTGTATTTAATATTTTTGTATGACATATACATTTGGCTGTACTCGTTTTTGGGCCGTTATCATTAGTTATTTTTTTGTTAGATAAGCTCCTGATTTGTCTTCAATACTGACTAATCTAATGTATATGCACAAATATAATATTGCATTGTTTCCTATTAAAGATATGAACTTAAAAAATAGATTTGTGTGGGGTGTACTTATTTACGCTGAGCACTCTCTGTTCTGACAACAACTGCCGTTGCAGTGAATTAAACTACTTTTACTTAACAGTAATCATCCTGGAAAACAATACAAAAACACTGATTGGGCTTTCTGCAGTGTGTGTTGTGTGTTGTGAAGGGAGGCCCAGCACAAGATCACCGCTTGAGGCTCTCACCCGCTCTCCTTCTTCCCGGATATCACTGAGACGCAAAGCCTATTAAGAGTAGATGGAGAATAGACTGTGATTGGTTGTGTTACACTGGTAAACCCACTGAATGATGATGCGGGTCTCAGGCTTGGGCTGTGAAGCCCCTGTCAAAGGTACTCAGGCAGGGTATCTGTCCGAGGCCTGCTCCTGCTCCTATACCTGAACTGAGATTCACTTCGAGACGGCACTAAACACGTGGCAAGGTAAGGAATTAAGTGCAAGCTGCTTTTTCAAAAAAAAAAAAAAAGAAAATGGGGGAGGGGGCTTTCAGCACGGATCAGGACCTGGATAATGCTGATTACTGATTTACACCGAGCAGTGATGCATGTCACCTACTTGGCTAATTGTGCAATAACAGAGGTGAATACACCTCCAAAACGTACTCAAGACACATGCGAAAAGTCTGGTTAACTTTCTCTTTCACTCTCATTCTCATCACCTTCCATTCGAGAGCCAATTGCATTTGCATTGGATACATTCTTCAGACCTGTGGTTCTACTCCAGTCAGGCCCAGACGGAATCTTTGCACGTGGAATAGGAACGCCTGGCATTCAAATTCCATCACATCATTCGCCGGCTAATTTAATTGTGCTTTCAGCTACAAATAAAAACATTTGAAATAAAAAAAAAGTGAATACAGATAGACAGATTCCATCTGGGCCTGGTTATGATAGGTATTTGAGATGGAGATCTGAAGAGATTATGTGGTGACTACTTTTACAGCCCCCTCCCAGCAGTGAAACGATGATCATTCGGGCCCTGAAAAATAAGATCCGGACGGACCCATTGTGGCAGGGAATGGCTTCACTCGCTCTTCAAGAGCCAGCCGGTGAGTATCCCCGTGTGATGTATAGCTTGATCGAAAATACTCTCATCAGCAATTTACACACATTTGCAGTCTCTGTCAAATCAATCAGCTTATTCATAAGAGAAATAACAGTAAATGAGCTAGCGCTAGCTGGACTACGGTCTCTCCCAATCGTAGCTTCGGGAGCCTCTGATAGCTGCTTGACATACAATGTAGTGTAACGGATTTTGTCTGATCTGATGCTGTATTTGAACGCATTTGAGGTCCTTCGTCAACATATATATATATATATATATATATATAAAAAGGTTGTTTCATTCCCCTTGGCTATTGTGTAACGTTCACGTCACCATTCAAATGTATTTGCATGTAGGAAGGCACTGAGACTCGCACACAGAAACTCACACTGAATGACGCTGTAGTGAAATGCACTTTCTGTTTCCGTCCTCGTGATTCGTCAAATCCAGAAACGCAAATGAAACGTGTCATGGTGCTAACCAAAAGAGCTATTGGTGAACAATCAAAGTGGGCGGAGCTTACAGAGTGGTCTGACCTGCATTCAAATGAGCTAGTCGTCACTGCGACAGGCCAGATGGAAATATGCAAATTGATAATGCTGACACTCCTCTGCTGAGCACCTGATCGCTTGTGGTTGCTTGTTAAGAATAAGCAAACAACAAAAAAATAAAGAAAGTAAAAACAAAACACATTCAATAATCTAGAGTTAAAGGTAACAAACCAAGGTTACACCAGTAACAGTGAAACCGCATGGTCGAGGAACATGGCTCATAAGATGACTGTCATTACCTCCATGAATCAAAGGAAACAGCACATAACATAAAGGCTATTTAAAAAAAAAAAAAGAAACATTATAGACAGAGAGACGTCAGTGAACGTCCGTCAAAGTTTAAACGCAAATGCTGGGAGCGTTTTAGGGTAACAGCATCTGTCTTATTTATTTATTCATTCTTTTTAAACCCAGCCCATAATATCTGATACGAAAACTATTCCAGAATGGCCTTTTCGGGTTTTTTTTAGGCTTCTGTGTGGACGTTTTTCTCTTTCAGGACCGTCCGGCTCACCCGTGTAACTCTGCATGGCAGCGTCTGTTTACATAGGCACGGTTGGCATGTTAGGTAAGCTACAAAGTCTGGAGCCACTGAAACAGATTTGTCTAATGGGATCCTGGTTTTCACTACCTTCAGGGAGGGATATGACAAAAAAAATTATAAAATAGAAAACAAAACGTATTTAGAAAGCTATCACCGTATTTCATTGCTCACATGTGTGCACACACGCATACACTGAACTTGGTGAAGTTACACATTTCCAAGCAGGTTCCCCAATGAATAAGTGCTCTGACAGGACCGACAAAAAAGCCAGATAGAGATGACCGTATCAGCAGATCTCTATCATGGGTTTTCCTTTTTATTTGAGTTTTTTTTTTTCCCCAATAGTAAGAGTTCCTGCTATCTCCTTTGATACCTTGACAGCAAAAGATGTAAAAGACCAAGATAGCCCTGTTAATATTCAACATGCCATATATTCTTTATATATATATTTTTGTATTTTTTTGTTGTTTTATGTTAACTTTAAACAAAAACAGTATGGTGCTCAAACTCCAGCTTCTATAAAAATATATAATTGTACGTATATATTTTTTTGATAATTTCTTTTTGTTGTTGCTGGGACTCAGCTGTAGTAGGGGGCTCCTCTGATTGGCTGAGTCCAGTGAGATAGAGCTGAGCGCTCTCTTAAAACGATTCCTGTTATCTCACTTTGTTGTTATTTTTAGTCTGATTGTTCATATTTGTAATAGCTGTTGTAATTCTTTGTCGTTTTGCATCAGAATCTCAAAGTGACTGGCGGGTAGACTTGGTGGGACAGGACAAGGAGGTGGGCCCTAGGTCTGGTGATCAGGGTGGGTTGATTCTCACTCGTTGTTGTTGTTGCTGTTCTCCAAATCCTTGCACTGGATGTTACCGCCACTGTAGTCGGTGCCGGGCAGCTGCACGCCGTATTTGTCCACGCACCAGCAGATTCCTCGTTTCCGGCCACGGGAAGGCTTGCACTGCAGGGTGGAGAAGGGACAAAGACTCATATAATTGCAAGTACAGTTTAAAGTGAAATATAATTCCTCAACCACATGGAATGATAGTATGCATTCACAAAATAACCATGGCGTGATATCTTTAAATACCCACCATATCCTTGAAATATGACCCCCAGCAGTTTATTTCACCCCAGCATTTTCAATGGAATTTCTGCGCTAGCCTGCTGCTACTGACGGCTTTAGCGTTTACAACGGTCTTTCATCTTGTTTTATGCTTGAACAACTAAATTAATGCTTAAGTCTATTTAACTGAATGTATTGTAATTATATTACAACATAGGTGCTGTAAAAACAACCTTCTGACATTGAAAATAGTCACAAAGCTTTCCCCTGAAGATTACTATTGCCTTTAAAACTCTAGCTGTGTATAGAGCCCATTGGAAAATGCTTACATTTACACACATATTGAAATACTACTGTATGTTTATTTCTTAGCCTTATTAAAGGCAGCATAGAGGTTACACCTCATGAGACAGGAAGTAGCTATGTTTCCATCCACCTATTTAATGCGCATTTTGCAAATGCGCATAAAAAAACCAGTTGATGGAAACGCTATGATGCGCATCAATTTTGAAAATGCGCATAAAAAACGTATGCGCCTAACTGGGTAGGATAAACTTTTTATTTGATAAGAAAAGATGCGCATAAACTACGATGGAAACACTTTTAACGCACAAACTCCAGCATGCGCATTAAAAAAGGTCATGTGATTTTGTTAAAAGAGATCATGTGATGCTTAAAATGTGTGTGAATGGATAAAACGTCAGGCTGAGCACATTATAAAACATCTGAAATGTTGTTTTGGTCATTATAAAACGCCTTACCGTTTCAGTATTACTGTTATTATATTATTAATGACCTCCCGAATCAAGAGCGCCTGTGCTTCGCGTCTGACACCTTCAAACGCCACTGCGCGCTCACTGCTTGTCAGGATTGTCTTTTGAGGCGCATTCATTTAGAAAACATTGACGCAGCTTCTCCTACTGCAACAAATGCAGTTTTTACTGTTGATATTTGGCTCCAGTTAATCAGGAAGTGATGATTTGGTTCGCTTTGACTCGTTGGATGGAAATGATGCTTCATTCGCACAACTTTTATGCAACAATCCAGTTTTGCGCATAAAGTTTATTCGCATTTTTGGATGGAAATATAGCTTATGAGGCAGAATTTGGATTCAGATTATTCCTTCCTATCTGCTATCTTGGCTGCTGCCTCCGAATGTAGCATTATAGAGCTTTCGGATGCAGCCTGTGAAATGACTGAAATTTGTTCGCCATAGTAATAAGAAACTGTAATGAGGTCGAGACCTGTCTGTAACAAATTTATCAGTGTTTTTTTAGTAAGTGTTGCACACCTTAGAATGTTCATCTGCCAATCAGAATAAAACAGTGTAATTATCATTTAAGGACCCATGAAGTGCTTTGAAATGTGCATATTTTATTCGATGTTTGACATAATCTCGACTGAAAACAGGAAGACATGGTGGAACATATAGTGGCTCCCCCATTTATTAAATAAACAGCTAATAGTGTTTTGTTTTTATCACAGCTCTGATGAAAATGAAAAACAAATGACAAGCCCCTTAAGCCTAGTTTATACTTCTGTGTCAAGTGACCGGCGTTGCCCACGGCGCATGCAACACGCATAGCTGTGCATTTATACTTTGGCGCGCTGTCTCTGTCGGTCTGCATTAACACTTCCAAAACGCTAGTTGGCAGTGAGGTGTAAATGTTCCTCTGTGTCGAGTTTCTTCTCTGCTGTTTTGCTTTTCCTGAACACTTCCTGGATGTACAAGTGGCTCAAACTCGCACATTTTGAGGCAGGAACCGGCGGACGTGCAACAACTTTAACTATGAGGTAAACACAAAACAAAACTTTCCATCCGGAGCTCCTTCGCGGGACTCCACACTTGTAAACAATCGCTCCATTGGGCTTGCCTCCAGCTCGCGCCATTCGCGCGGCTCTCGGTCCCGCCCAGACTCGTCAGCTCTACCAAGCCGACCAATCACAGAGCTTGCACTACGCGTCGTTGCGACGTGTAGTTACAATTTTTGAGAGGTGCACGTCAGCGACGCAGAAGTATAAATCAGCCTTTATAGGGGACGGGGGATGTCCCATACTACAGAGCATTTAATTGGACAGAAGAACTGATGAGAAACTGAAGTATGAGGTGATGTAAAAAAAAAACTGTTGATGCATTTAGGCGGAAGTGACAAACTGCAAGCTTTGGATGTTTGTCATCTTAATGTGAATTTTGCCACCGTGTTGGAGAACACTAGCTTTTAGATAACCTTAAGACTAACATGCTGATACATGGGACAAAGGCAAGACAGTAATTGGAGGAAACACTACGTATCTGTTGGAATACATACAGTCCTGCAGTCCCCATTGTTGTTTGTGTTGTCAAATACACATGCATTCTTAGCCAAATCCAATGTTATCACTCGATCGGAGGGGCATTATCAGTGGTTATCTGATAGATATGGGTCAGTAGGGGCCTTATGTGCCTACTGGTAGGCTCAGAAGGCTGTTATCATCCATCCACATGGTTAATCAGCTATAGATAACATGCGGCTGGAACAAGAACTATTTATATTGTTTATTAAATTTCCAATTAATTGTATTTTATTAACGTCTAACCCTACACCAACCCTAAACCCAACCATCACAGTAATGTAAAAACAGATCTGGAGTCTTCTTTATTAGTATAGCTGATTAACCATGTGGACGGATGATAACAGCCTTCTGCACCTACCAGTAACCTGCCAGAATTGTGTGAAACCGTACATTTTTTCCAGTGTATGATAACCCAAATGTTAAATCTTACCTGTTTGCGCTTGAAGAACCCCTTCCTGTCACAGTTAGGCAGGTAGAGAGAAAGAGCCATGACGCGCGAGGTGTCTTTCATACTTTGAATGATTCCGTCCAGCTTCCTTCTGCACGGACCCTGCATCAGACAAACACATGTTAAGTTGCGTCATTTGCAAACCTCAGCGTTTAATGGCAAGCTATCATTTTACCGCAGCTGCTGCGTCACACAACTTACAAATTCAGGCTCGTGCTTGTCGATGGGAAGGGGAGAGTAGTCCAACGACCCCACTGACCGAAGCTTCTCCTGTTGTTTCTTCTTGTCCTTAAACAAGGCAGCCTGCTTCTTGCTGTTGATTACGTCTGGTTTGGGGTAAAGGGGAATTTTAGGAATCTGGTCTTCAGTCGTGTCTGGCTTCACTGTATCATCATGCTCTATTGATTCACGATCTAAGACAAAGAGAATCAAACAATACGCATTACTGCTGGAAAAAAATGTGAACGGTGACAGCAAAAATCCTCAGCATGATGTTAAAGTGGTTGCCAGGGCATTGCTATGTTGTTTTGAATTGGTGTCATGCAGACTTTCTGAAGTGTTTTAAGTAAATCTGGGGGAATTTTTTTCACTTTATATCATCTACCAGGGAGAAAGAGAGAGAGAAAGCACAACAGCACCACAAATAACAAAAAAAGGGAGCTATTCTCCCTATGTTAGAGTATTTTTATTTTATTTTTACATGTTTGCCATTTTTAATTTGTTATGATGAATCTAAGGTCCCACTGCCTTTTTAGCCCCTCTGAGATACTATTAGGGGCCCATCAGGACCTCAACCCATCCCCAACAAACCCCAGCTCATCACATTCGTCTGCTAAGGGGGGGAGGTTAGGGTGATTCTAAAGTCCCACTGCCTTTTTAGCCCCTTTGAGATACTATTAGGGGCCCACCAGGAACTTAACCCATCCCCAACAAACCCCAGCTCTTCACTTTCATCTGCTAGGGGTGGGGGAGTTGGGATGATTCTAATGTCCCACTGCCTTTTTAGCCCCTCTGAGATACTATTAGGGGCCCATCAGGACCTCAACCCATCCCCAACAAACCCCAGCTCATCACTATTGTCTGCTAGGGGGGGAAGTTAGGATGATTCTAAGGTCCCACTGCATTTTTGGGCCCTCTGAGATACTATTAGGGGCCAACCAGAAACTCAACCCATCCCCAACAAACCCCAGCTCTTCACTTTCGTCCGCTATGGGAGTTAGGACGATTCTAAGGGCCCACAGCGTTTTGGGGCCCCCAGAGATACTATTAGGAGCCCACCAGAACCTCAACCCATCCACACCAAACCCCAGCTCTTCACTTTCGTCCACTCCACTCGGGGTTGGGAGAGGGGTGGTAGTTAGGACGATTCTAAGGGCCCATAGCATTTTTGGGCCTCCAGAGATACTATTAGGGGGCCACCAAAACCTCAATCCATCCTATGGAAATTTAGGAGGAGTCTAAGGGCCCTTGACATTTTGGGCCCCCAGACATACTATGAGGGGTCCACCAGAACCTCATCCCATCCCATCACTTTCAACCCAGCACTGGGAAACATCCATACACAGTCATTCACACTCAAACACTACGGCCAATTTAGTTTAGGACTTTGGACTGTGGGGGAAACCGGAGCACCCGGAGGAAACCCACGCCAACACAGGGAGAACATGCAAACTCCACAAAGAAATGCCAACTGACCCAGCCGGGACTCAAATAAGGGTCCTTCTTGCTGTGAGGTGACAGTGCTAACCACCGAGCCACAGTGTCGCCCCAAATATATATATATATATATATATATATATATATAATAGCCACATACAGTAGTCAACATTTGAAGTGGATCACCACCTTTCATCAAATTTGTCCTAAAAATATTAAACAGCACCCATCCTTGTCCTAGGACGATTGTGAAAAATATGTTTGATTCACTTTGAATATTGACTACTCTATATAAGAGTTTCATATGTTTGTTTATCTCATGGCTTATAACAACTTAACTTCAGACAGTGGGTGAGCATTCATGCACTCGAGGAATAGTAATTAATAAATAGCAATGTAGATCCCATGATGCTTGGCTTTACCACAATCCAAAAAGACTTGTCTTTAAGGTATTTACACATCCTCGTTGCTAGCGAGTGTTCATGGTGTAAACATGAAAGCAACTGTTTTTCCACCAAATGTTTCCAACGCATTTGTTTGTAAAGGGTGGCAGGAACAACAGCTGATGACGACCCCCTATACTTAACCTATCCCACCCTATACAAATGCCCAATCTACTGAGGTTATGCTTGACCAAGCAAGTTAAAGTCAGTATATCCAATTCTATTTCTAAATGAATTTAAGTGTGCAGCCTGAAAGTTGAATGCACCACTTTTTTTTCCGCAGCCAAGTTAGTCTTTTGATTCCATTGTAGAGCATATGCATGACTACGGGAGTTTGGAGTGAAAACAGAAACAGCTTTTCAAAGGATCCTTAACAGCTCAGAGCTGCACTTGAAGATCTTTGAAGTCACAATAACTATAACACCATGACAACCACAAGCTTTTTCTAGAAGAATCTCGAGAGGTAGATGACTTTTGACGTGTGACTGGGGGAAATGCGTAGAGGCAGCAGAACAAGGAATTGAAGCACATACTGTACTGTATAGTCTGATCACAGGATACAGGCATATAAACTGTCTTTCCACTGAAGTCAAATGCTGTTGGACAAAGCTGAGTTTCATAAAACTGAACACTTGAACCATGCAGAGGGAAGCCAAACATAGTACATCCAGAGGAGATTAACAGATCATTAACACTAAGCATACAATGTTGAGCTATATAATTACATTGACATTTAGTTACCCAAACAAGTAGAATCACTTAATAAAATATTATTTCCTCTTTTTGCAGTTTTTTCTTTTACAATATGGTCCAATTTGTTAACTTTAGTTGATTTGAACTAACAAATACACTTCAAAAGCATTTTTAAAGGGATAGTTCATCCCAAAATTAAAGTTGTGTCATCATTTAGGCTTCAATTGTCCCAAACATGTTTTGGTAAAAAAATAAATAAATACTGTTTAACTGTTTAATACTGTTTAACAAGCATAAAATATATACAGTTGAAGATAGAATTATTAGCCCCCTGAATTATTAGCCCCCCCTATGAACTGAATACACTTTTCCAAACCATAGTATACGTTGAAAAATGTTATCGTCCCATGCCTAGACTGGACAAAAGCGTAAGCAGAGAGACCGGGTGCGCTCGAGAGAGGCCGAATGTGCTCGAGGTAGACTGAAGCTGGATTTATACTTTCGCCTGGAGCCGCATCGCACACCTCCGCTAACTGCGCGCACCTTTCCACAAGTACGTCATATCATAATGTCTTTCAATATTTTTAAACTAATTATTTTGAATTGTTTTTATACATTATTTTAATGATTATAAGCATTTTTATAACCATTCAAGATTTTTTTTTTATCAAACTTTGATGTGTCACTTGCTTTTGTTCATATCTCGGACAGTTTTACCATTTAAAGTTGCTCTTGAGTTGCTCTACAAATAAATTTTTATTATGGCAAGAATAAAAGCATACTTTTTTTTTTTTAAATTTGCCCGGTCCACAATTCACACATTACTGTCTGGCTAGTTTCTGTCCTATACTTATGCTAAAAAGGCAGTGATGGTCCAACATTCCTGACTATTATCACCAATAAAGCCCAGAGAAACAGGGCATCAGTATATTGTATTCCTTTCCAGTTATCAAAAATAATTTTGTGACTTTATAGTCACTAGGTTATAGTTTTGTAACTATTAAATTGATTTGAATACAAAATTCTACAACATACATCAGTGTAAAACCTATGACTGGTGGAAAAAACATATTTCTGTAATTGTGTACCTGGGTCTCCACTTTTTCCATGGCCTCTTTTGGGTTTAGTAAACTTATCCTTCAGGTTTTCCCCAACCTTTTAACAAAAACTTTCTCCTTTCCCACTGCTGTTGCAATTTCTAGCCAATAATTATTGATCATCAGGTTATCTCTCTGATCAAGAGTCATAAGATGTGTGTACAGTCGTATTGTTTCAGATAAAATCTCTTCAAAGTGGTTCATATTCAACTCAAATCAGTTGTGGCGCCGCGCAAACTGTTCACTCGAGTCTCAAAAAATGCCCTACGCACCGCCAGCCGAAATTATGCTGCGCGCACCCAAAGCGAACCGAACCTCCGCGATGACGTAACATTTGCTGCGCACACCCAAGCGAACAAGTCGAGTATAAACAAGGCTTGAGTGTGCGTGCGTGTGAGAGACAGAGAGATTATAAACGTTACTATTATTAATTACTATTACTTATACTACTATATTTGTTGTTTTAAATAAATAAGAAAAAATATTTTAGTAGACACAGTGACACATTTATGGTATATTTCAGAACACATTATTTAAATGTTGTATTGCTCAGAAAAATGCTGTGATTTGTTTGTTATTGTTAAACAGTGTTAGGCAAGCTACTTGAAAAATGTAGTAAGCTAAGCTATTAGCTACTCTACTTAAAATGTAGCTTAAACTAAAAGCTACCCTCTGGGAAATGTAGCAAGCTAAGCTGAAAGCTACTTGGCAAAAGTAGCTTAGCTACATCTAAGCTAATTTTTCCAATTTTCATTTTTAAATCAAAGCAACTTAAATCCAAGTCAATCATATCTTAGTGATCAACAAAACTGCCAATGAAACATATGAGGCAGAATAGTTCAGTTCATATATTTTCTGCAAATAATTTGCTGTACTAAACAGAAACAAAATATAGTACATAACAGCAAAAAATCCAATAAAACCAGTTGTTACACATTTAAAATACTACAGTAATTTACTTCCATCGACTACACATCAGCTTCACAGCTCTGTGAATGTCGGTGTCGTTACTTTTTGAATATAGTAACTATAACTAGTTACTATTTTTCTAGCACAACACTGGGAACCAAGTTGCTTGGTGACTGTAAACATTTCATGTTACTTACCAAACAAATAAACAACATTATTTGCTGAATATGGTAAGGATTTGAAGCTACATAAGTAGACTAATATGATAATATTAATCTAAAGATATGATCTTTTAGTTGCTATTGCATCTGTAGTTGAGAATCAGACAGAATGGACGTGAACATACGGAGTCGGGCCTGAACGTCGAGCCAAATATTTTGGTCATACAGCCAAGAGGGCATTATCAGACAGCTGAGGCCGCCAGCAGAAATGATTGAGATAACTGCCCTCACAGTCCCCCTGAGCTCCAGTGCTTCACATGGCTGTGGACTGGGGCAGGGTGTTCTGGAGCGGGCCTGGTGGTGAAAGAGTCTGTCTGACCTGGAGACGCATGGGGCGGGTGCATGGTCATTACAGGAATTGGTTTCCTGGCTTCTGAAGTTACAATCAGAGCATGGTGCTGTGTCTTTGAAATCAATCCCGCAACCCATGACTTGGCAGACTGAAATTTCTGTACAGATTTCCCCGCAGGTTTGCGCTCACCGAAGCCACCGAATTTGAGATCGCCTCATGGAAATAGAGCAAGATTTACATGGCTTTGGAAATGGAGACGCAAACGGGAGGGTGCTCCTTGTGCATGAGCGCGTTTACGAAATCAACAATACCTAGAGTTTGCAAAGCCATTCGATTCCGTTGCCTGCTTTTTTTTGCAGCGCGAGGACCGAAATCACTTTTTCCATGCTCGTGGTCCCCGGCTTGTAAAGGTTTAGCGGGTCTGTGTTTAACATCTGACACACAGCCAAGATCCTGGAGCACGGCCAAACCAGACGTATCACGTGTAGCCCGTCTATTCAAATGAGCTTTGGAAAGAATGCCGAAGAGGTATTGGTGTCTCTCTCTCCTCTTGGTCTTGCAAAACTTTTCATTAAGATAAAGGGACCCGAGCCTTGCCAAAGGAGATGCATCTGATAGGGCTCTGCTTAATAATTTACACATGTGCAGGACAATTATACTTCATGAATATCCACGCTTTCTTTTAGCTCGGGGGCTAATGATGAAAGCAGATCCACTTTTGAGCTGTGATGTCTGATTCTGACAGATATAAGGTGCTTGTGAGATCCCTAACCTTGTTTTTTTCATTAGCATGCATGGTTGGAATTGTGTCTTACTGTTTGTTAAATATTCAGACCTGCTCTGCCTTCTTAAAGCATGCCACTTGTCTTTGTCTTGCTTTCATTGTCACAGACCGACCATGGCATCCCTGGCAAGATCCCAACGCTAAATATTTAAAGCCTGGACCGTATCCACAACATGTTTGGAGCGCTGCAGCAGAGAAGCATGCAGGATTACCAAAAAACCCACAAGTAGATGCATCTGTGTAGGGCTGCATGATATTGGACAAATCTGATATTGCGATATTTAATTTCTCTGCAATAAATATTGCAATATAAATACAATTTGATGGTTTTCTGGTGAGCCTAACAGTATTAAGGTACAGTAATTAAATAATTGCAATGCAAAAATGCTTTTCTTACTTTGCTTTGTATTATTTCTAGTCCAAATATCTAAAATGTCTTGATTCAAGTAAAAATATTAGAAAAAAAGGAGAAATAAGTCAAATTAAGAGTTTTTCACTACTAATGCTGGGGTAGTGGCCAACAACAGAGACACATCAACAGCAAAACTTGTCTCTTTTGGGATAAAAGTTTCCATGTTGCAATACACTATCGGTTACAACCAAGAAAGCCATCATCTAACTTGCTATTCAAACAAGTCCCCTGTAATTCAGGACAATGCAAAGTGATGACACCTGTCGATGCCCTTCAGGCTGAAAGCACATGTGTGCACCTCTTCATCGCCTGACCGTGTCCCATGTCATCAACACTCCGAAACATGAACTCAGGAGATGCTCTTCAGCACATCAATGGATCACTCCCAGTCGCTGATTTCAATTAGTTTAAACAATGGTGAAGAGAGTGATACTGTCTGTAAGTTCAAGCCAGCTTTCCGCTAAAAGCATCAACATCCAATCCCTTCCTGTTCTTTCAATTTACAGTACATATACATGGGTCCAAAATGGACATTGAGTATGTTAACACAGACAACATTAGTTTGATTTTTATGTCATTAAAACAGTGCTCTGATTAAGAGTCTCCCATGTAAACAGCAATTTTTGATGAAGTTAATCTGACTAAAGTCAGAATCGAACTAAACAGAAATCGAATTAACACTATTCTCTGCACCTACCGAGTTTCAGCCGAGTGAAAGACCACAAATGCAGAGGTTTTTTTTTATTCCCCATACGCCGTGTTTGATCAAATATCTTTTACAACAACACTCTTCCAGCAGTTCATACTCATCCAATATCTCGTTTGTCATGGGGGCATGAATCAAATGCTTCTGAATGAAAGTGACAGTGCCAAACTGCAGTTAAAATTAGATCCGAAGGTAACATGAATAGCACGCAATGACGTTAATCGAATTATGTGCTATAACATGTAAAACAGGATCATTAAAGAAACATTCTAAAGACAACTCACATAAGCACCTTAATCATATTACTGTCTAATCAGATTAAGGCAAATCGTTTGATTATTAATTTGATTGTCCATGTAAACATAGTCATTGTTAATACTCAAAAGTTACAAAACATCTATGCATTGTGGGGTATATTGAAGATCAAAGGTTTTACACTGTGGAAAGTAAAGGCTGGGCAGTAAGCAGAGATTTTGCTAGACAATTTCAACTGTGGAAGATGTATTTGCATGGGAAGGACTGCTTTACATTATTTACACATGAGAGCAAGAAAGAAACATGCAGTAATGTGGAAATGTGGAAATGTCCAAGCAAAATGAGGATATTTTTTATATGAAATGATGTAATGTGAAAGATTTAAAGGTTTTAAGGGTTTGTTTGCAGCTCAGCATGATAACTACCTCATGTATTATCAGCAAGTAATAGAGTATATTTTATATACACTGTAGTCAACATTTGAAGTGGATCAAAACCAAAGTTGTCCTAAAACTGTTCAACAACATTCATTCTTCTCTTAGGACAATAAAAAAAAAATGTTTTCAACGGTTTGACTACTTTAAACCCTTTAAGACTGTTTTGCAAAGCATAATTCAAGGCTGTAACTACCGTTTGGATGTTTAGTAGGTAATATAACATATTTTGAGTGTTATATAATGAGAAAATATGAAGAAAAATATTCAAATGATAATTATGAAATAAAGCTTTTATGAAAAAATCTTGTTTGCTTGTAAGAAAATAAAGAAAATTAACCAAATAAGATCAAATTTCGTATTGATTTGCTCTAAACTCTCTAGATTATCCTAACAAAGCTTTTACAATAGGATTGTATAGTATGAAAGCCATTTGTAGCTTTATTTGTGTGCATATTGTAAGTGTTATATGATGTAGGATGCATGATATCATTTGAATAGTCATTTTGTTTGCATCTAGATCATCCATCAATGGATATATAGTATAATTTAACACAATATTGCATTGTAAATCAAGCGTGATTTAAAGTTACTCGTCTTAGTCATTTCACCACACTTACTGTACAGCACAGTAGTCACATTGTTTGTGAACTGTTTCGAGAATGAGTATATTAATCAACCAGCTATCAGGAGTAAGTACAATTTAGGGTTTCCTAGTTCACCGAAAATGGAAAATGAGGTCATAATTTACCCACTATTCCCTTGACATAAACCTGTTAGAGTCTCTTTACACATGATATTGTGGCCCATTTGCACTGACTGATACAGTACAACAGGTACAATATGAGTTACCTTTATCAGACTTGCGTTTCCACTGCGCAAAGGATACCAAGGGTACCTTTTTGGTAGGGGTGGTGTATGACAGAAAGTTTCTGTCGACATCTCTCTCGCTCGAGGAAATCTTGCTGAAAGTAAAGCAGTACGGGTCGTTCACATATGATACGAGGAGCACTTCTTCCAAAACAGATGTTTTATACACATAAATTCTTGTGTATAAATGTCCATTACTATCCTTTTTTTAACATAATTTGATTATAACTGCAGATCAATAAGTGCGAAATAGCTTTAATGTCTGCAATTATATAAAATAAATAAATAAATGCAACATATAAGAACACATACATACATTTTCAGTTTCTGATGTTACCAATTACAGAAAAAACTACACATAACATACATTTAGTCCTTATTTGGGTTTGAAAACACGCAACATTTATCTGTATCTTTAATCTTCACCAGCACATGTAACCTTTGTTAGAGAATAATTATGTTATTTCGAGTTAATAATAGTCCAAAAGGCGATGATAATAGTTTAACGTGGCAGATTGTTCATGTTTTAGGTTGCTGAAATAATCATTTTCTCATTTTTTACTTTTTTCATGCTTCACTCTCGGGTTTGACTGTTTCTGAAAGGAACAGATGTCAGAAGCACTTCAATAATAACGCACACATTATTATCATCAGTTCAAGAAGTTCGCTATTTCAAATACAGATGTGCACACCAGTGATCGCGAGCTCCTTGGAGAAAGTGAAACCGCTTGCACTTTTAGACGGCCTCGTAAAACAAAAACAGGACACGGCGAATTTTGTTCTTCTTAACTTTGTGGCTGTATAACAAACGACAAGGTTTGTTTGAGCTCGGGTCAACCATGGCTCGTTATTATATGCATATAATATTACTGTGTAATGTCTCGGATGTGTATTTGAAAATGGCAGTTTCTTTGTTTTCATTTTCCTGCTTGTGTACGCGTGATTGACGTTTCTCTGTAAACCAATAGCATTCAGATGTGCATCTAGCTCTGCCTTTTAGTACCCTTCTGACATGCTAGGTACTCTTTGCAAAGAGTACCCAAAAAGTGGTACGGTTCGATTCGCTTTTAGGTACATTTTAACAGCAGAAACGGCCATAAAAGCGTACCGAACCACTTAGTGGAAACGGGCCATAGGATAATGGTAACCATCGACATCCATAGTACTTGTTTTCCTACTTCGGGAGTCAGTGGTTTTCATCTTTATTCAAATGTTCAACTTGAAAAAAGAAACTCATAAAGGTTTATAACTACCTGACAGAGAGCAAATAGTGATTTGAATTTTCGGGTGAACTATCTTTTTAAGCCTCAAATATGCCACTCTGTAACTGTAACAGAACAACTGCAAAGTAACGATTTTGTTCTGTCTCTTATCTGTCTGGAGAATCCTGCAGGGCACAAAATTTGAGGCTGCACTTTGGAACCACATCTGAACCTGTGCTGCAGGCAAGAAATTAGGCACCTTTTGTTCTCCTTCCCTGAAGAAACGTGACACTGCGGCTCCCCCTCCACCGCCCCAGAGCACATGACAGGAGGTTTCAACAGGTCGGCGTCTTCTGCTGAACCACATGGTCTGCTTACAGTCTGTGTGTTTAATTTTCCAAACGTGAGTCGTAAACCCATAGATTAAATAGATTGTTTTTGTGCGTTCGCTGTTTTGGTCAGCCTAACATGTGTTCCTATTTAAGCAGGGCCCAGCGTGAGGATGTCGCAGGCCAGGAATCACATTTCTGACAGAGATGAGACTACTGTGCGAGCTGATTTCCTTCACAGCTGTTACTCGCTAGCTTTCCAGGTGCCAATGACAAATACACGCGGGACAGATTGCTGTTAAACTTTACTGGAAGAAGGCATTCAAGCGTGCCAAATAGGTTCCCTGCTTGCATACCTTTGCAAAGGATGACTGGGCATTTGATATACGAGCGCTTTAGACTTGGTTTGGGATTATGCTGCAAATAATGTACACAAGGTCTAAAAAGTGCGAATCTCTTTTCGGTTTGCTGTATATCTTTCAATTTCAGTCTGATGATGCAAGCAAGTATATGATTATGAGTTTGGCCTGTGGCGCAATATAAAAATGAGATGACAGACAGGCAAGAGACGAACAACTGCGTTCCATTCATTTGTAATTGTTGTTTAGTTATGGCTGTATCTCTAGCGGGTAAATATAACACATAAATTAACCAAACGCAACAGCCAAGTTCTTTTGGCACAGCTCTTTGGGTTTGTTTATTTGTACGCAATTATATTCGGACATGAAATTGTTGAAGGCGAAAAGCCTGTAGTCATATCTGTCCAAGTTTCACACAGCGTGTCCGAGCAGAAAGTCTCCCTTGAGATCATTGGCAAATCGGCAGAATTTGCCAATCCTGGAGCTAAATGACAGTCTGGCATCACCTATTGTACTTGGCTCGAAATGTTAAATCTTTAAACTGTGAGTGCCAGAATTCAAGCCTATGAAGGTATTTCAATGCTATGTTTGTATAACTGTGCGTATTGGGGGAATAAAAATGGATCAGGAGGACAGCGAGCCAAAAGTCTCTGAATCCTAATGCGGGCAAGGACGCTTGACCTCTCTCCCTCTTTCTCTCCCTCTCTCCGTCTGTCCTGCCCAGCTAGTAAAACCACGCTGAAACCGAATACCACAGGAGGCTAGAAGCGTCCCTCTAAATTCATCCCCATGCTTGACGAACAGCTCTTGATAGATTGGCTCCACAGACATTCTGCTGAATCACAAGGGCTCGACTGTGTGCCCACTGCAATCACCGAAGGGGTAAACCAGCAACCGCACTCATCAGAGACCTTCAGATTGAGACAAACAGGTTTCTGCACCTGTGTGTGAGGGGGTTGTATTTGTGTACAAATGTTCAACCATTTCAAAGTCTAATACGTGAAGTCTACAAGGCAGTTCTGTATACTCATGTGGCGCTTCTGTTCGTGTAGCTCAACTAGTAGAGCACTGAGCTGTGAACCCTGAAGCTGAGAGTTCGAATCCCAGGGAGAGCATGAATAGAAGCATCTGTCAAATGCATACATGTAAATAAACATGCACGCTGTGCACAATTTCTCTTCGCAAAGTGTGATATTTGCACACAGGTAGAGTTGTCGACCCAGAACGGCCACCCTCCCTCCCCTTGGATTTAATCTTTGAACGGTAATCCGACTCTCAACACCACCCACAGACTTAGACCTAAATTCAGAGCAACCTAGAATCTCAATCAAGAATATCATGAGGCGTGGGTACACCATACAATGATGAGAGGTGTGATCATAACAATGGAGGAGTTGCTGATGTCAATAGAGCACCACAGCCAAATCAAGCAATAACTACACACACACACACTCAGAAAAACAGTTTGGAGTTGTCTTTCTTGAGGCGTCTTTAGAGTTCTGGGCAGCATAAATTATGCAGTTCTGGTGAGTCTGATGCTGCTTTGCGTCTGTGCAAATGAAATGCAGCATCAGAGCAGCTTTAAACATTCACTATATATTGAAATTCACTATCATATGTTAATGCTTTTATTCATAAACATGTTTATGTTCATATTATGATTGCAGTTTCTACTTTAGATGAAGAAAATATCAGATAGCAATATAATTATGCATTGCTTTATCAGTGTATTGCATTTGTATGCCTATTTTAGCCATTATATGGTAGGTAATTTTAAAGCAATACTATGGTACTACTATGTTAAATTACAAAAGTGGTAGCTCTGAGCCCAATTGTATGCCCAATACATTTTCAACAGCAATCGTGCTTGTAATAATAATGGTTTTGAATAAAACAAACAATCTACATCCAAATATTAAAACATAAGTGGTGCAATAGTACTTGCACAATGGTTCCACAAATACTATGGTACATTCCCAGAAAACGCGGTGCTCCCGCTGCACTGTAGCCAACATCTAGGATGACTTTGGAAATCGTTTGTTAATAATTGGCTTTGGATGAAACATAAACAGGCTTTGCTAATCCTTGCGCTGGAATATGATGAAAAAAAAAAGCAGGGAGCTGCGCAGACCGGCCACAACACAGAAAAGCTCATGCAGAAACATGCGCACGCCATAAAACAGGATCAGAGCAAGCCACAAAGTTCCCACCAGATACACGATCTCAACGCAACAATGCTTCCGTGCAACAAAGGCGCACTGCTTCCCAGTCAACTTACCAATGGGTGGGTGCGGTGGTTTGTATCCCTTCTCGTTCGTACACACTCCCCTGCCGTGCAGCAGGGCGTGAAGCGGCTTCTCCTCGCCGTTGCGCGGCAGGCAGCGCAGCCCGTGTGTGCATGTACCGGTGTACACCCCGCACGCCTGCCCCTCCGCCAGAGCGCAAGTATAGCAGCAGCCGCAGCCGGGCTCCTTCACTAGCTGACAGCCCACCGGGACCGGAGGACACATGGAGAGCGCCTTCTGATCGCACGGCTCGCACGGTACAAAAGAGCCTCCGCTGACGGACAACACCGTCAGAAATGTACCCAGCACAAGAAGAGCCATACTTCGTGTCAATGTGAATGAGGTCCGATGGAAATTAAAAAGAAGCAAGAACTAGATATGAGGGCGCATGGACGTCTGGCTCAGATTCGAGTTAAAGTCCGCATGCAAAGTGAAAACACAGGTTGGGGTTTTAAAAACGAGAAAATAAAAATAGTCTCTTTAAAAAAAGTATGATGATGATAACGTTGATGATGATAATGATGATGAAAGAATCCTGTGGATTTTTTAATATAAATATATTAAAAAAGATTCACTTGAGTATTCTCCAGTAGTCCAGTTTGTGCACAAGTTGTTGCGCACTGAAATTCTGGACTTTCCGATTCCAAAACACTTTCCCCTCTAGAAGTTTTCTGAGCAGACTGATCAACTTCACAGCAGTGCTTGCCTTTTTAAAAACAGCCAAACCCAAACCCCTAACTATGAATAAGCCAAACAGCGGTGAAGGGAGGCGCACTTGCCAGATCGTGGCGCAGCGCCAGCGCCTTTTTTCCCCCCTCGGCAATAGGATCAGTCTTTTACGCAGTGATGCCAAGAGCGCAGAGCAAAACACAAATCCATGCAAAATCGAAGATATGCTCCTCTGAGATCTTCCGTGCACTTTGCGGCTGGTAGAGCGACAGATTCGTGCACGGAACTCGTCGGCTTTCCAACAGATTCCGCGTCAGATGGAAACATGTATGTGACAAGATAAAGTCGCTCGCTCACACATGCGTTATGAAGAGTACACACAAAAGAGCACGATTAGGATCGCTCTGCTGATATAGGCACCACCCGTATATTAGTGCGCGCAGAGAACATGTTTGAGTAGGGGTAGATGTGTTTCGGTTCAGCGTCTGCTGCAACGCTGTGTCGCTTTGCTCTGTGCGTCTCAAACTTTGACACAATATCCCCGCTTTAGTCTTTTACACATTAAAATCCAGCAGTTATCCATAAACTGCTCACTTTAATGTCAAGTACAAAGTGTGCTTGGAGGGAACGATTATGCCATGCTCAAATCTCAACTACTCCCATTTTAACCAATAATTCTGACCATGTGAGTTTTATATTCATTCCTAATAACACATCTCTATTTAAGTAAAATGTAGAAAACACTAAGTTTTGTACTCGTTTGTGTTCATTACAAAGCAATTTAAATGCCAGATGTAACCGGTGTTACTAACTTCTTCTCATAACAGTGAGATTTCACACATGTAACTTTAAATGGTTAAACCGATGGTGTTACAACTCGTATAAATGCGCAGCAATAACTTCTGACTGCAGCAGTGAAGTTCATATACCCATCGCCGCAGCGCACAATTAAAACCAGCTGAGGTGTGTGGCAAATACTGTGGTAAATCTCTTTTCTGTCATGCAGAGAGGCTTTCCTTCGGTTGCCAAGTCTCGTTTGAGCTTTAATTACAGTGGTCTCGGTGGTAGTTTAAGAATAGGCAATCTACACCCACCTGTTCCAAACTCTGAACTACCGAAACCACAATTTAGAAAAGATGAGATTTAGCAGACACGATTGTTTAATCATGCCGTTCGCTCAGTGTCCAAGTGGCCCTCTGCTGTGTTTACATGTCCCTGATTTGCCTTATAGAGCGCTCCAAAATGGCATTTGCACATGTCCCATATGTAAAGTTCATCAGTGCTGTGAAACGAGCTGCTCTGTTTTGCTTTGGAATCTCTTTGTCAGATGTATGATACCAAGTTTAAAGAACTGCGCACGATATTTCACTTCATTTGATTGTTCTGGGTCTTTCATACATGCTGTCTCTTGTTTTAACCAGCTAGTGTGTCTGTGTGGAGTATCTTGCAGCTTTAGTTCGACTAGTGGAGATTTCGACCGCTAGAAGGAGCTGTTAGCAATGCTAAGAGGCTCTCTCTGTGTGTGTGTGTGTGTGTGTGTGTGCGTGTGTGCGTGTGTGTGTGTGTGTGTGTGTGTGTGAAATGATTGCTGAATGTTTCATTATTGGAGATTTACACAGTGCTGCTGTACACACTCAGGAATCAAATGGACAGACATCAGCTGTTAAGAATGTACTTGCTGTTTTGATACATGGCTAGTTGACAAATAAGCAGTAAAAAAACTTTGTTTACCATGTTTGAAGACAATAGATACATTTATATAGTTTGATGTTTGGATAAATATAAGGGCTCACTAGCTTATTAGTTATTTCCCTGTTTCTTTGTACATATTTACTGAATTCTACCCTAAATACATCCTATGGTGAAGCATAGCAAAAATTAAGTACTCTTAATAATATACAGATAGCTTGAGAGTTATTTCATTATCTTTATATTGTGCTATTATTTTATATTTATTTTATTTCCAAAAAAAGTTAAATCAGCGAAGGATGACATGGTGGCACAGTGGGTAGCATCACCTCACAGCAAGAAGGTCGCTGGTTCGAGCCTCGGCTGGGTCAGTTGGCATTTCTGTGTGGAGTTTGCATGTTCTCCCTGTGTTTGTGTGAGTTCCCTCTGGGTACTTCAGTTTCACCCATAAGTCCAAAGACATGCGCTATAGGTGATTTTTCGGTAGGCTAAATTGTCCGTTGTGTATGTATCTGTGTGATTGAGTGTGATTGGTTTTTCCTTGAGATGGGTTGCAGCTGGAAGGGCGTCCACTGCGTAAAAAACATGCTGGAAAGTTGGTGGTTCATTCGGCTGTGGCGACCCCAGATTAATAAAGGGACTAAGCCGAACTGAAAATGAATGAATGACTAAATATGCAAAAGACAAAACTTAACAGGGGCAGCATGTCATGGGCTGCGTCCTACTACTTAGTAGGTGCTGCATTTTAATTAAAATGTACTACTCGACCGTTAGAAAAGTATATTCTATACAGTATGAATGTAAGAAGTACGAATTGAACTCGGACTTACTACATCCGCCATTTTGTTATCATCACGTGACCCACTCACGTCAGTTGCATCAATTCACTCTCATCCTGAATTCTCTCACGGGATAGCGTAGCGTCCTTCGAATGCGCACTTCAGAATTTTGCCAGAAGAAGTAGGTCATCTGGGTACTTCTCACATACTGTTTTTACAGCCTGATCTCATGAGAAAACGTAAGTATTTTACTTTTTGTCAGTTTAGTGGCTAATTTGTTCGAATTCGTACGAGTTCAGTCATATGAAATTGTAAGATTTTAAAAAGGAGGCATGGCACCTAACACCAAACATCACAATTTGTCACTGGGAGATGAGCAAATCGTACTAAATTGTACAAATTACACTGTACGAATTTAAATGAATTAGCCACTTAATAAAAAAGTTACAAATTGCTGTGAGATTGTGTTGGTTTTTTTTATAGGTGCATCCCAAATCGCATACTTATGCATTATTCTACGCCATTTTATAGTATAGTGTATGTAATGCGTTTACACCAAAATATAAAAAAAATTTCTACAAGAAATAAGTGGACTTTAATTTTCCAGAGGATGCCCTTATTCAACCTTTAAAATGAAGTGTGTAATGTTGGACACTTCACGCACTCAACGACCGCAGCTTTGCTCACGTAACATAAGGGGCGAGCTTTCGGGTGCTCATGTTGGATTACTTTATTTATTTCAGATTGTGAAAGAGTGATTATAGCGCCTCCCGATGGTGAATTCGGTTATAGTCATGGCAGGTATTATTCGGTACTTTGATAATTTGTTTCACTAATTTGACAAACGTCATCTGGGAAACGGTTTGAATTTCCGCTTAAAAAAATGTCCATTTGGGACGACACTACATACATATGCTATGCTGTTAGGTGCATAAGTACATAGTCTATAAGTGCACAGTGTACAGTGTGCCATTTGGGAAGCAGCTATTGAAAAACAGTATTTGAAAAGTTCCCAGATGACGTACTACTAAGAGATTCTGAATAGACGCTATGCTATCCCATATTGCGAAAGGATTTATGATAGGAGTAAAGTGACAGAACTGACACAGGTATGTCATGTGATGATGACAAAATGGCGGATGTAGTAAGTCTGAGTTCAATTAATACTGCTCACATTCATACTGCATAGAATGTACTTTTTAAATGGTTGAGTAGTAGATTTAAACTCAAATGCAGTGCCTACTGAGTAGTGGGTGATTTTGAACGCAGCCGTGGGCCTCACAAGGTAAAGTCTAGGCTGGCCAGAAGTGGGATATGCACATCAATATAGCAGCATTATTTATGACACTGTATAACAATAATTCATATTTTTACAGTACTGTGATGGTTGGGTTTAGGCTTAGAGTAGGGGGAGACGTTGGGGTAGGGGTAGATGTTAATAAAATACAATAAATGGAAAATTTAATAAATAATTATCGTCAACTTCAGGCCGCAACTGTATCTGATCTCGCAACAACCTGTCAGTTGCGTTGCTTCACTTCCATTTATAAATTCTCTCGTGAAGCATTATGGGCTAAAGTAAGCATCCATTGGATGCACACTTTAGAATCTAGCCGGAAGTAGTAGGACATCCAGGTATTTCTTGCATACTGATTTTCGAATTCTATGATTTCATTTTTTTTTATTTTTTATTAAAATATGCAAAAATCATACAAATACAAGAAAATGTCAACAAATAACAAATACAAAGCAACAAAACAAAAACAAAACAAAAACAACAACAATATAGTTAAGTACTAGTATGTGTTTGAGTGTGCGCGTGTGAGTGTGTGTATGCATGTAAAGGTAACTTGGTGGACAGGTCAGAGTACATACATAAGGAACAATAACAGTCAATAAATGAAGCAAGTGTCACAGATATAGATAAAACATATAGAAATAAATCAGTCAGAGGTAGGGAGTAACAACAATGCGCATTAATGTATGATAGTAAAAATGAGAGTAAAAAGAAAGAAAGGACAACAGTAATAACTGACAACAATAATAATAAATCACAAGTGCTACACCAACTACTACTACAGAAAGTTACTTATATAACAACTACTACTGCTTCTACTACAGCCACAACCATGACTACTACTACTACAATGTCTACTAATACTGATACTACTACAACGACTACCACTACTGATGCTACTATAGCGTTTGCTACAACTAATACAACAACGTCTACTGCTACTACTACTACTACTGCTACTACCACCACCACAATCACTTCTACTACATCTACATCAACAACATCTACTACTGATATTACTACACCAACAACGACTACTACTACTACTGTAACTACCACACCATTACTACTTCTGCTACTACTTACATGAACTACTACTTCAATAATCTCTGTAACAATTACTCAATAACAATCGATACTATTACACTGTCTACTACTTCAACTACAACTACTATAAATTCTATTATTTCAGACATACTACCTGCCTATAGTATAGAGTATGCGATTTCGAATGCATCCATAGAATTCCG